AGAATTCATTGTGCTTCACTAACATTTTCCATCCAACTGCTTTTTCATATGCTGTTAGTATACTCTGTGCTATAGAAAGTGTCCTCAGAGACTCACACACCCAATGGCATAGAGAATTGCTGTGTAATAGAATTTCTGCAAATTCAGTACTTCTTTCACATCAACTGATTCAGTTTTCTTCAATCTCTCTTCTTCCCAAACACCAGGTTGCAATAATACAAAAAAGAGCATGCGAAAGTATGAGGTTTTGCACTTAGTATTGTGAAAATGAAACATAGACGTTTTTCAGGGTGCGTGGAAAAAGAGCCAATTTAAAGTGGATAACAAAACACAGAGCAGCCTAAATTCTATGGTCGTTTTCTTGTTCTCTTTCTTAAGGATACTTATATGTGATTCAGAAATTTGCATATTCTACTTTATCAATTAGTTCACTACAAGCAGTTTTGCCTCCTTTTCCACAGCCAAATGTCATTCCTAGATGAAACATTGAAATGTTTGGCCCAATTTTAATGGCTCTATCTAAGATGGAGTCCATTTTCTTCGTAGCAGCTCATATGGTGCTGTGGTTTAGGGTTTTGACCCAAATGCTGGTACCACATTAATGTTCTACCTTGGCTGAACAGTGTACAGCACCAAGGCCTTCTCTGTGTTTCTCTCTCAGCCCCTCAAATGAATAGACTGGGGAGGTGCACAATGGATTGGGAATGGACACAACTGAGCAGAGACCCTGAATTCATCAGAGATATTCTATAATATGTAGCATTATGCTTAATAATTAAAAGAGAGAGGGGTTTAGAGGAAGTAGCCATCTTTTATTCAGGAACTTGTTGATCAGCATTCTACTCATTGGAGTAGATTGTGTGTTGAGTGTTGACTTTATATCACTTGTTCTGGATCATTTTCTTCTTTTATTTCTTCTTCTTCTATTTGTCCTTCAGTTATTAAACTTTTCTTTATCTTGACTCACAAGTTTTTCTGCTTTTATTCTTTTGTTCCTCTTCCCCATCCCACTGGGGAAAGGGGGAAAGGGGAAAAGTAAACAAAGAACTGTGAGGTGCTTAACTGCTCACCAGTGTTAACCCAAAACACCACTGCAGTGCAATAAATCAGTGTTGTAAAAGGGCTGAGTAGGGGGATTTCCTCCACAGCTGCATAGCCAGAAGTGGTTCTGAATGATGATGATGGCAGAAATGTTTGTATAGAAAAATAGTTAGGAGCAAAAAAATTTAGAAGAACTTATCTAGTGCTACAAGTGTCATTGGAAAAGTACTTATTAAGCATGGCAGACTGATATTTAGTTCTGGTCTTGTAGTTTTACTGGAAAGTCTACTGATACCAAAAAGGCACCAGGAGCTTTTACTACTGCCTGGCAACCCTTTTCCAGCAAATACTGACAAATTGTTATTCCATTTCTTCTACTTCTTTGAAAGGCAGTGAAAGACAGTGATTTCATTAAGCATATTTTAATTAATATATGTAGTTATTTTAGGACTTCCTAAAGGATAGGCAGTTTATTTATCTCAGAAATTTTGGAGTTCTTTTTCAAGACACTGAGCCATGAATTCTTTCCCAAGTCAAACCTTAATATTTGGAGCAGAAAAAATGAAGTTAAAAAGGAATTTCAGGAAACCATGAAGGTCTCAATTGGTGATTTAGGTCCTCTTCTCAGTGTAAAATCAACCGTAGGTATATTAACAATAATTTAAGATTGATCAATTTGAGATTAAAAAATATTAATTCAAAACTGTACAGAATGCATCTTGATTTCTCAGTCTTTTCCTTTAGCTCTTCTACAGTTCATTACCTATAATTACAGTACTGGTTTAGAAATTATGCATTTATTTCCCTGAATATATGACTACTTCAGAGCAAATGAAAATGCAAACAAACAATCTAATACTCAAGGTGGAAAATCTCTCTCTTCAGGTAAATAACTAATAAAAAACATGACTGTTTTTATTGGCATAGCACTGTAAGAATTTGGCAGCACTGTGTTTGCAAATGCTCTGTCTAAAAGAATTCAGCATTTTCTTTCCTCGGTAAGATATCTCAGAGACAACAAAGGCAGGCGAGTATTGATGGACATTACAATAAGCTGGACTATTATCAAGCCAGGGCAGCACATAGAAAGTGGTTAGAGTCCAGTATTCTTATATTCATCCTGTTTATGCAATGGGTAGAGGGAAAACAAGGCCCAGTTTACTCTTCCATTTAGATCCATTTTTCTTCCTGCAGCTGTCTACACATTGTATGAAGTTAACAGGGGCATGGAAATATTTTATTCAGTGAATAATGCCCAGGATTATTTATTCTGAATTTTCAGAATATTTATTCAGAATTATTTATTATTATTATTTAAGGAAAGTCAAAGTCAATATTCTTCAGGTATCTGGTTATAAACAAAGAAACTGAGAATGCAAATTAATGGGGATATTATTACAGTGGAAGATAGTAAAACACACTGAAGGACTTGTATCTCTTAAATGGGCACTTTGGAAAGGAAGGCTGAAAACAGAAAAGCACATGCATGGATATTTCACAGAAACAGGCCTCTCTGGTTTTAACTTACAAACCTTTTTGCAAACATTAAAAGAGTAAGGATGTGTGTTGGTCATTCAAAATATCTGCAAACTCAAATGAGTCTGATAAACAGGACAGTAACCCATGATCTATTGTGTCAAGTGAGAATTCAAAAGTGGCTATGCAGGATCAAACCAAAGACTCATTTAGAAAAATCATCTTGTCTCCAATAGTGACTATAAGAGATGCCTGGAGAAGGTCAAGAGCATGGCAAGCATAATATAGACCCCTAATTTCTTCCCAACTGTCCAATAATTCTAGTTTCCTCTGCTAGGTATTTCTGAATATGTTTTCTGTTTCATCATTTTCCTTTCAATTTTACAATATTATGTTATTACATATAAAAATCTATTAACTGAAGGATCAAACGAGTTTTCTGTTTCAGTAACTCTAAATAGACCGATTTTCTGTGCATTTATTCACTTTGACCCTTTGTAAACTTTTAACACTCATAAGGTACTCCAGTAATGAGTTCCACAGCTCTGTTTCCTCCTGTGGTTTGTTTTGAACCTGGTTCCTGACACCTTCTTTGGAGAAACATTCATGTGGAAAATTCTGACTCTATCCAAATTTCCCATGCTCCTCATTATTTCTCTTTGTTGCTATGCTTTAAGTATTTTTCCTACAAATACCACTGAGTGGAAAATTTGCTGATTCCTAGCTGCATGAGGAAGCCTCCCTCTAGCTCACTAGTACATGCCTCAGCTATATCTATTCATAATAGTAAACAGATACTGATCTCTTTTCCAGCCCTAAATACCTCCTGAATCATGCAAATAATCCTTGTACGTAAGTTATTCTATATCTATACCTTTGAATTTCTTTTTTGTCCGTCTCTGCTCCCAGTACTGTCTTTAAAATGAGGAGACCAAAATGGTACAGGCTGTTCAGGATGTGGCACCATCCATGGTCCTGTATGATGGCAAATATGGCCTTCTGTTATTTGTTCAGTCTTTTTTCTCTACTAAGTCAAAGTATTTTATTTGGATTTGGTCATAAAATAGCACTGAATTGATTACTGACTATATAAAAAGAAGTATCTGAAGGTTTTAATAATATTTTCTAAAGTAATCACTTTGGATCACTCATTTAAGCATAAAAAATTATAATTTGTTGTCACACAGAAAACAGAGGGAATATAACTTTTTTTTTTTACTATCTTTAGGTTAAGAAAATGAACTTAACATACACTGTTACTGCAATTTTTGTATAGAGCATCCTTAGGAATCATAAAATTCAGAATACTTCTATTAACTTTGCTCAGCTCAGCTTTAAATTCTGTATTTTTCTGGTTTTAATCTATGAGCTATCATTCTTTGTTCAAATAGCCCTTGTTAAAACAAAAATGTAGCTACCTGAGCTTTGCTCATCATTCACACAACAGCAGTTATGCAAGACAAGAAGCTGATATAAATTCAGCTGACAACAGCTGATATAAATTCAGTAAAGTTTAACATCATTGAAATTACACTGCCTGTATCAGATGATATCTCTTTGAGATCTGACTAAGCATCAAAGACTAATTAGAAAATTTGTACCCACAGAAAGATGAGGGTACTAATAAAACAGTTGCAACACGGCTTTGTTTAGGTGCATTTTAATTCTTAACAGTTGTTATCATAAAATATATAGCTATTGGGATGGCTGTTCTGCAAAGGAAAAAAGCTAGCAAAAATTAGTTTTGCAGTGCTTTCTACACAATATAAGTTGCCTTATAAATAAATCTGAAAACAAGCTAGTCTCAATTTTCAGGAAATGCAGAGATGGCAAAGCACCTTAAGTGTTAGGTCCCAATAAAAATCCTTTCTTTTCCTCTCCCTTGCATTACTGGACTGTGGACTAAGCTGTGACTCTGCCACAAGCCCTGTGAATGGTAATAGACTGATGAAAAATCTGGTGGACTTCTAGCTGTTAGGTCCTGAATGCTATTGTATTCTTTGCCAGTCCAGCCCATGATCTTGGGTGGGATTCACTGATCTATTCTTTCACCTGGAATTCTAGGCCTATTCCATAATCAAGAGAGAAACAGAATGGATTGTGTCCTCTACCTCCATGAATTGTTGATGAAGTTTCCAAATTGAATAAATGCTCATCATCTAGTTGCCTAATAGTAACCAAGAATAATCTGACCTATGGTGCCTAACTTGCCCTGGAGACAATTCCGTGGAAAGAATCCAAAGGCTATAGGCTGTAAGCAGAGCAATGAATGCTCTGTGTAAATGCCTTCTGAAATTCTCCACTTCTCAGAAGTGCTGAAGAGCACTTCTCCCTATACATCTGTAAGCACGCTGAAGCTGATGAAGTGATGCAGTACTCCTACAACAAGGCATGCACACTTATTAGTATTGCTCCTCCTTTTAGATAAAGGAAATTCCCCATCTGAAGGTTACAAATCAATAGATTTGTACTATTCTGTTGTCTTTTGAGTTTGATTTAATCACATGGAAAAATTTCACAAGTATTTAGAATCTGAAAAATTAGACTTCTTGATCCTGTTTCGTTCACGAGTGACTAAAAGAATTGTTTAGTAAGTAGGCTTTTAAGAAGTGTTTAGTCATCTAAGACAGATAGGTACTTTAAATCAATCAGACTTTGTAATTACAGAGACATTTCTTCTAGTAGCAGTGCCTTAATGGATACTTTTCTCTTCCTCCTTTTTTTTCTCTGCTTCATTCTGCCAGTGCTGCCTTCTCTCCTGTGACAGTTAGATACATAGAAAGATTTTCTCTAGTCTTTCACAAACTTTCAGAGTGGAAATCAGACCCAGAATTAAACATCCAGGCTCCTCTAGCTGCCTGGATAAAACTGGAACCTTTGAAGCAAGAACCAAAATTACAGAACCACATCAGGAAGCGATGAAAAGCCAGCCCTACAATTTGTTCCACCCTTTTCCTGGAAAGCAGGAGCAAAGACAGGCACTGCTGTCACTGTTGTTTTTCAAAGAAGAAAACTCTTTGTTTTCTCTCCAAACATGTAGCTTTTAAAGGAAAATTAAATGAAATTATTGCAATTTTCTATTTCATTTAAGAGTTCAAAAGAATTAGCAAGTCAAAATGGAAGTCTATCTGGCCTTGGACCGTGCTTTCAACAATAGCTAAATGTTGATTTTGTCAAGGAATGCAAAATGAGGGGAGAAATATACTATTTGTACCAGAAAATATTTTTCATTTTCAAACCTTTGCAGATCAAAGACTCCTTAAGTTGGGGGTGTGGCTATGAATTTATTCATTTTCCATAAGTATTGCTTACAAGTACTTGTTTGTTTCTGGATGAATCTTCTACCATGTGAAACACCCTGCCACCTCATCTCTACTTCAGACTCTCAGAACTTTCTCATCCTGTTGTTTTGAACAAGTCACCAGCTTCCCAAATCTGATTTATCTGATGCCACCCAAAATCTGATCCAACATAACGCAACAAAACCTAGGAAGGAGGCAGCATTTTTCCCATGGGGTTCAGGCAGAAGTTTGGTGCCTGGCTGCTGAGGCCAGGAAAAGCTGTAAACATCTATGGCTGGCACTAGAGGATCTTCCTTGTTAAAGAAAATATGATGTTGTCTGAGTTACAGCTACCTTGAGAACTAGGCAGCTCCAAAGGTATAGTCAAGGAAAAGTGTAAAACTGTAGGTTTCAAGTACATAGGAAATGCATGAACTTTTCCCAATCAATTTGTGGGCTGAATGTTCACCCACCAATAAAGTCAATCATTAAAATCCTAGAGTAGCAGAAGGATGAAGACAGGGTGGTATAAAGTATCTTAATTTAATTTTTGTGCCCAATTAAGCCAGAATGGAAGGTGTTCAGTTTGTAAAATGTCATTTCTCTTTCAATTTAGAAAATATTATGCTATTGCATATAAAATTCTGTGAACTGAAGGACCAAATGAGTTACAATACCCTGTGAAAATCTTCGCATTCGAATTTTACAGCTTTCTGGGGTTTGTCTTAAAAGAACAGAAATCGAGCCCAAGTATTTCTGATGGCAGAGATGCAAGTGAATGTATAAAGATTTGGAAAATGATTGAAATATAACTGTATGAAATATCCTATTAACTCTTGCCCTAAGTTTAACATTTTTGGAAATAATTTAAACTAAATTCTTGAAGCCTGCTGTCTGTGTTGTCATTACAGATTTTTTACTTCAGTGGATTATGACTTTTGAAAATTCACCCTATCCCCGTTCAGCAGGGGATTAAACTACCATGGAATAAATTAAAGTGGGTTAAAAATGTCTAACAGAGTTTTAAGATCCCTGTATTATGCCAGTATCACAGAGTCTGCTAACTTTGAAATGAAAGTCTAGCTAGGTAAATAAATTTTGACAGGGATCTATTGTTCTTTTTCCACATTCCTGTAAGCCTTCTTTTATTAATATTAGCTTGCCATTTTCTGCATACATGTAGAAAGTAATATTAAATAAAATTAGATTTAATGTGAAAGGCCACAGAGCAACATTTTAATCAAAATTTACACTATAGTTTGCTTTTCGTGTACACACTGAAGAAAATATCCATTATCATATGAGAAGCCATATCTTCTGAAGAAAGTAAAAAATATTATAACTTGAAATATCTTGGTACTATATAATGGACAAGTCCACTGTGCACTATTAACATACTCTATTAATATTGTTCATTTTCTACATGATGTTTCCAATCATCCACTGTCAATGCAAAATTTAAATAAAATTAAATCTACCCTAATTGTTTGTTACTCCTGTGTCTGATGCTATATTTTTTCCAGAGAAAAGCACTAGAATGTTGATACAGCTGAGTCACTTTCCACATAGATATTCATGGGGGCTTCCTAGAAATCTGAATTTGAACAAAGATTCATTTGAGGAAATTTTACTCCCACTGATGTTGACAGAGTGCGCATTGCCACACAAAGGAATTTTATATCTACATGAGAAGCTTGTGGGGGGAAAAAGGGGCTCCCACAAGTACAAGAAATTTTATTGCAAAAATACAAATTCCTTTCATTAAAATTCCCTGTTCTTCACCATGAATTACTCATTGATTACAAACAGCTGAATACTTCAGGAAATGCATTTTAAAAACCTAGAAGAAGCTGTTTCAATGTTTGGCATATTCCTGCTAGCTTTTATGCCTTCATCTTCACCTTATGCCCTTGCTGCATACACATACTAACTTCTCAGAAGTCTTTTGTGATGCCAGAGAAGGTTTTCTTCTCTGAATTTTAACCAGATACTGCATTTTGAACTGTGTTTGTTTGATAGGCATTGATCATTCTTTTTTTTTTGGTTAGTGGATATCAACTTGTATTAAAATTAGTTTCTGAGGAAAGAGGTATACTTCTTTATAATTGTTCTAGTAAGAAAGGGAAGCATTAAGCAGCTATTCTATTGCAAGTGTATTCAATTAATTTTTATTGAGATTTGCTTGATAGTTTTGTCAAGGTCTGCTAATTCTTACAGGGGTATGCTCAGTGGTAAGCAGCATGTGGGCACCAGCTCTACTAGGCAAGCCAAGTGCTGAACATTGTTTTCCTGGCGATGACATACACAAACATGTTGCAATGTTCCCGAAGTGCAAAGATGTCAAAGAAATATGGATCGGCCTGTTGGAAATCAGGAGACACCACATGTTACATATTTACAAGATCCAGGCAAAATTTAGTCTTGATCTAAATCTGAGCAGCACTCTATCATGAGTGTACATTTGTTCTGTCAGGATGCAGGAAACAGAGCAGCCTCAGTAAAAGTCCTAACCACACTTGCTTACAGAGTTGGTCTTTGTCCAGAGTTTGGCTCTGGACGCTGCATTGCAAGAGATTATTATGCCATTAAGAGGAGTAGAGCTACTGAGTACTGGTAGGGGATACTATAAACCTCTACATCCTATAAACTCTTAATATTCTATCACTGAGTTTGCACAGACCTGTTTTAAGGTCTATGGTACCTTTTTGAGCTGATCCAGACAGGTATTGTCAAGGAATTTACCACAGCCAAAAAAAAACCAGAATAGAATACTCAACAGAAAATCAACATTGTCACTGCTGATAGTAGTCTTATATTTTCTCCTGCAATAGTATCACACCTAATTAAAAGCGAAAATTGATAGCCAGCAGGATTAATCAAATTCCATATGCAAATAGCTGGCTCATGAGAGCCATGGTCCAATTGCTAATACTAAAGTCATTAATTTAAATTGAGATGAGTTAAGAGTCGTTTGGGCATTGACACATAAGTTGAAGGAGGTTATTCATTGCTAAGTTTTTCACACTGTAACAAAAAACTTAGGAAGAGAATACATGAATATTGCTCCAGCATGCCAGCTTCTAGGATGAACAGCACTGTGAACTTGTCTATGGGAGTTATGAGTCTTCTCCTGAGTAGTTCTGATACATCAGTTTAAATTCTTATTAAGATGTACTGAAACAAGTTAAATACAAGACAGTCCAAGGTTTAGTAAATTTACATCTTTGGGATTTATTTTATGCCTGCGAATTTGGCCGAACATCTTCAAATAACAGAAAGACTTCTATTTTTTAAATAAGACCAGTTTCATCAACCCTTCAGAGACTTTCCCAGCCTTCAGCCTTCATAAAAGGTCCAGATATTTCCAATTAGCAAGAAGTATTAACTCAGCTCATAAAGAGAAATACTGCAGCAATTCTAATGCAAATAAAGTGCATTTTCAGTTTACCAGTTCAACTCAAAGGTAGTTCCAGTGTCTTGATCTATCACTGCATTTCTAGACAGGGTGACTAGAAAAAAAACGTAGTCTTACAGGCAGATTATGCTATAGTGCTACCCACCTATGAGCTTTCTCCAAATGCTGATGGCAAAAATATTTTAAGTTGCACAGTAACAAAATTACTGCAGAGTAATAAAGTAGTGATGTAACTACATAACTTGTCCTACATAAAGAATAAAAACATTTATTGCTCTGAACTTGTATCCCAAGAACTTCTCAGGTATGTAAAAAAAATTCAATTGGTCTATCAAAACCAATTAGGCTTAGACTAAAGTGATACCTGCAAATTTCGGTTGCCAGAACGCTTTTTCTTAATTTAAAGAGACCACTGGAGTCTGTGGTCTGACAATTAATCTGGAATCCTTACAAGTTTTGGCTTCGTTACGTACTCAGTATCCTGTTTTCATATTCTTAGAGTATAAAAATTTCAGGTTACAGGGACAATCAGGCATTCTTTGTCCAAAAATCTGCTCAAATTAGGAAGTGAGGTGGAGTCCGAAAGATGGATAGACAAACACAAACTTTTCACATCAAGTTTCAAGAAGCATTCATCTTTTTTGACTGATACATGGAGATTGCTCTGTTTGATCTCAGACAATTCTAAACATCAACATCTAATCACACTGAAATATTTGAGCCAATTCTCTCTCCATTTCCACTCATGCAGCCTCCTGCATGAACAAGATTTCAGTGGAGTAATTCAGACAAGAATTAAGTGCTTTGTCTTTCATAGAATAAACATTTCATCAAGGACAGATCAAGATCACTGTTACATTCTTCTGTCTGCCCAAAAGTGCAAATAACTTTTTTACATTGTCTCATCCTTCTATATCTTTGTTGCTGAGCAGCAGTACAAAACAATTTAACATTAGCAAGCAAATTGCATTTGTTACCTGCCAAATGCTGATACAAAAGATAAATATGAAAAAGCAATAATGTCCTCATTCTAAGGCAGAAGGTAACATGTCTTCATTATAATATACTTGCTAAGTAATATTCAATAAACTCATAAAAGCATTTAATTTAAATATAAATGCTTAGCAGTTCCATTTTTCAAAGAGTAAATGACAGTCCTGCTTGTGTTTCTCTTAAATGTATTTTCAGAATAGACATCCTTTCATAACCTCTAGTTAGTGTTATATATATTATTACTCTTATTGCAATGCTCACAGACCTCCTTGTGGTCAGGGTTAAGGTGTACTAGAAGCTAAACATATATAGTCACTGACCTAGAAAGATTTCTCACTGAAACAGATTTGACAAAGGCAAAGATAAAGAAGAAATATTAGTGATGTCCTAACTCAATTGCAGAGCTAAGAGCTAGTACAAATCTCTGGATTTCTCTTTCCCATGTCATATCCCGTATGTACCAATGAAAAGGCCAATTCCAATAATTATTTATACGTAATGCCACTTTAAAAAGGAGGCAAGCTCAAGGAAACAAAGTCAGCTTTGAAGTAAGTTGTGTCAACAAGAAGCCTGAAAACTATTTGTAGACCATTAGGTGGTTCTAGTTTTCTACAGGAGCAGGAAAAATTGCCCTTTTTAATGAGAAATGTTTGATTTGTTCCTCTGCCAAAAAATGATAGTGAAAATAATCATACTCATGTCTTTAATGAATGTTGTGTTGCAATGTTGTTATAAAAGAAAAACAAAAAATAAATAAAATTGGATTCACAATTTGGAAAGACATTATAAATGTCTTTCAAAATGTGAATCCCTTTATCTTTCAGCAGCCAATCAACGCCAGCTCTGGGTAGAATATAAGCTACCTAGTGAATAACAAGAATATTTTTCCATTGTTTCAAATTCATTATATAAAAATCAAATGATATAATTTTTATAAACTTAGAGGAAACCAGAAGTTTTTCAAGTTATTCATTTTTTAGAGTGTTTTCTTTCTTAGTTTGCTATATAGATAACTAAGACAAAAGACCATGGAACAGCAAAAAGAGTCAAGCTTATTACATGATACTATAAGATTTTTATTTACATTTTTTGTCCATTTATCTTATGGATTTTATTGCCAAAATATGGAAGATTTTTTATCTAGTGTAATCCAGCAATATTCCTAGATTAATTAATAGAACAGATTTCCTGGTAATTTCAGAACAGCTTTTCCATGGAGAACAGCATGTACACAGATTTGATCTAAAACATATCATATTTACAAGAAAGACATTCTATCACAAATTACAGGAGTATTAGAATACAAAGCTTTGGAATTTTAAGTTTTGCTATATCATGGTAGTAACCCTAGGCGAATGCCTGAAGCCTAAGACCCAGCCTCAAACCCTTACTCATTCTAACCCCCTAACATACTACCTCTCATCTCATCCTAAGCTATTTGATGGCAAGAAAAAGAAGGGCAGGCCTTATATGTATAGTACACATAATTTTGCTATTCTACATTCAGAGCCCTTCAAATAATTTTCATCTTTATTTTAGGTCCAAAATATGATTTGGTATTACTCAGGGTAAAAGATTCCCAAACAGAATACAAAAATCTCAGACAGAGAGACTGAAACTCTCAGCTTGTCCTTGAGACCGAAAATGGCCGTAATTTTGGTTATGGAGAATGGCAGTAGAAGCTTCATGTCAGTTCTCCATGCCTGTTCAATTACTGTCCATTCTAATCAGATTGCTAACAAGGGATCATTAGGAGTTTGGTGTCTATGATGTAAAATATCTACTAGGAATTGGATTTTGATCATCACTTCATTTTACATCTGTTCCCCACTAACCAATGGAACAAAGATTGTTAATCACTCTTGACCTTTCCTGGACTCAAACTAGTAATTTAATTGCTAATCCTTACCGAGGGACTCTGAAGTACACTACAGAGCCCCCAAGGCATGCAGCTTGACCCTCTCTGTTCAGCACTGCCTTTAACCAACAACATCAGCAAGAGCACACTCAGATTTGACAATGTTAATTGCAGCTTTGGCCAGAGTTTCCAGATGAAGCAGAAGAAACTGTCTAACTAGAAACATTAAAAATATCTGCTGAGCTCTAGGTGATTCTACATGAATCAAAAAAAGTCTCTCCAGCCAAAAAGACTTTGCAGCCAAGACAAATCTTGCAGACTCACACTACTGCACTGTCAATTTGCTCCTAAGAAATGCCCAGCTCCTGGCAATTAGAATTCCTAAGGGGCTGGTGAAAATCTGTTGGTTTTGGCTTGTTTCAAAATCTTCCCCCAGATGGTAATATAATTCCAAACCAGCTGAGATTCACTTTGTGTTGAATTTCATTCTAAAAAAGGATCATACAGGAAAAAAAGGAACAAAAGCTTTTCCCCTCCTCAAATTTCAAGTTACAAAATGGAGAACATTTTCTTTTAATCATTCTTCTGAGTACAATTAGGTTATTCTAAATTCTGTATCTCCAAATCTAAACTTTCTCCTTGATTATTTTCAAATCTACATTCAATTACATTTCAGACTAACATTTGCTAACTAAGAGAGAAGAAATATAGAGGCAGCATGATCTATCATGCACTCAGTTCTTAATGCAAACCTTAAAACCAGAAGAACACAAGCTTCCACCTGCACATTTTCATCCATATTAAAATCACATTAAACTGATAATAATTTTTCTGTAAATATCAGTGCCTACTACTGTTATGGTCTGTCACACAGTTTCATGCCTCTTACATGTGTTTGTCAATATATATTGGTTTTTTACAGGATCGAGGGTCATATCTATAACTAAGATTAGAACCACATTTCTGTTTTAAACCTGGCTGAAGATTTCTGTACTGTATTATGTTTACTTTTCTGTAATACTTAGAAGGCATTGCCATTGCAAACTGGAATGCAGCATCTACTGCCCTGAGATTGTATTGATTAATATCTCAGACAGAAACACTAGCAAGGTCCCTCAAAGCAGACAAACTGTGTGGACATGAAGTTTTGCAGCAGGTAATTAAATCCACCTATTATTAGACCTTACCTGGAGCACCATGCAGCTCTGTGCTTACTGGTTCAGGAAACAGAGGTCTGTATAGAGGTCTATACTGAGTTTTTTGTAATGTCAGAGCCCTGTTCTCTTCATTTTTATCCACTGAAAAACGTAGGTCTTCTAAAGTAAATACAAATCACTGTAGTTGTTCACTGGAGAGAGTAATTTCCCATGAAAACTGAGTTCAGGCTTCACAGAGGAACACATTAAAGGTACCTCTCAGTGTGATGGGCTTCCAGCCACTTGGGTTGCACCTCAAGGGACAAAAAGAGAATGCTGGTTTTCTAGTATAAAAATAGAATCATTGACTGCACATCACTGGAGTTACTACTGAACTACACTGTCATAAACAGAAGTTCTAATCTGTTCCACACAGTTACTGAATAGCCCAGTCAATAGCAACTTATTAAATGACTAATTGACATTTTTCAGGATTGAGAACGCTTCCCATTTTCTGCTGTCTTGTCATACAAAGACAGGCCTACACAGCTAACAAAAATTATTTTAAATAAATATTTTTGTCAGTATAAGCCAAAAATTAAAAAACTCCCTCTGCCCTAAGATCTTGGCAAGAGACACATGCAAGTGCTCACAGAAAGCTGGCTGAGAATGTGTGTTGTGTTGAAAATATTTCTTTGACTAAGAATTTATAAACTTTCATTTAGAAAATCACACATCAAATTTCTTAAGCATTTCAAAGGATCAGCAAAACACAAGAGCCATGAAAGACTCAGGACTTTTGAACCATTCCCAGCCTTCTTTCTGCGGCTGCAGCTCCTCCAGGAAGGCAGCTCGCCAGCTTCCACAAACAAATCCCAGCATAAGGGTACTGAGGTATTGGATGGAGGCAGTCAACAGGAACTTGTGGCCAGCGTGCCAGGCCACCTGTTCTAGGGGGGATCAAGCCATGGAGAAGGGTTGAATTCAATTTCCTTAGCAATTCTCTTTACACAGCTTCCCAGCATTTATCAAATCTCTGCCACCTGGAGAAGCCCTCTTTGTGTCTGGCAGAGAGAGGGAACAACGAAACAGAATATGTTTCCCCATCCCCATACCAGATTGACACTGGAAACCCCTAAGTAACTACTACAAATATTACAATGGAAATACACTTTTTTTTTCCTCAAAAGAATGAAGACATTTCTGGCAAAGACAAAAAAAAAGGCAAAAAAGTAGTCATTAATTTCTGTTAAAATTAATTAAAACTTCAGGGGGCTGAATTAGTGAATCAGATGCGGTCCAGAGGGAAGTTTCTATCAATTTTAATCTCATGTTATTTACCACACTAAAGCTCAAAAGTTTCAGGAACTTAAAATTATTCACCACAAACTTAGTATTCATCTTCTTAATATTGTTATAGTCCAAGGTCAATGATCTCAGCAATAAATCAAGAGCAAATAATAACACAAACAAATACATACAGAATCCACTTTTTTCCTTTACTTCACAACATAGAGAACAATAAATATTTTATCCATACTGATAAAATATTTAAATTATTCAATACTAGTATTGACCAATTATAAAATGTTACATTAATCTTATTACCTGTGGGAATACAATACAAAAATAATATTCTTTTGAAATACTGAATTTTTTCTAAATATGTCTAAGAACTTTACAATAGAAGCAAGTTGGTCAACTGCATCAGACTTACCAAAGTACTGAAAGTTACATAATTTTATCATGGCAACCCAAATTTTTTTTTGATTTTGTTTTGACTGCAAAACTGTAAAATTGCCAAAATGAATCCAAGAAGAATCAAGGACAGTTGTGTTGGATTTTCAGTGAGAGTAGTAATTCAAATGTGGTTCTGGCAGAAAAGAACCGGCAATATAACTTGTTTTTTTTTTTTTTTAAGTAGAATCAATTTGAAGTTAATAAGTATTTGCTTCGATTAAAAATTCAGAAAGTAATTGCAAGATTAAAAATAGAAAGTACATATAAGCACTAGCATATTTTGAAAGGAAATGTGTACATTTAAATACAATTATTTTTTTGCCCCACTACACTACTGAATTTGGTGTAATGAAAAATGAGACAGGACAGACAAGAATGCAAAGCTTCCCAGTGCTACTCCATCACTGGCAGAGTTGCAGAGAGGAATTAAGGTTTATACTTGGTGTGGACCCGTGTGACACATTCTGGAGAAGCAAGCTTTTTATTCAGAAAAGGAACAGATGTTTTGGCAGATAGCATAGAAAGAATCCTGTCAGAGACTATAAACTAGGCTTGAAGGGGGAAAAAAGAGTCTGGAAAAATGTGAAGTATAAAACAAAAGAATCAAAATGACATGGATAAAATAGAAATGCAGAAAAAAGACAAGGGCTTTGTTAAAATTGAAAAGAGAAAGTAAATGTGCTCAACTCTTTGTAACTTTGGAAGAAGTTTTAAGGCAAAAGAAATGAAACTTATCTCTCTTCCACTGACACAGCTCATTGCAGCATGACACTGGGAGATTAATTTTATAGCTCCAGACAGAAATCAAATAATAGGAAGAGTCAATGCCCTTTTTAAGCATCAGTAGAGAAAGATCACAAGTACACAGCCAATATTAAAATGCAGCCAAGGTTTATGGCCAACATTTAAGTAGATTTGTACTGGAAGAACAAAAAATAACCAACTGTGTAAATGGAGATGGGCATACTACCACCTCACCTGCTCTGCACCCAGAAGTTTTCCTCTTTCATTTCTTGGCAGTAAAGAAGCTCCTTCTGAACCAAACAAATATGTTTAAGAAGACTTAAAACTCAAATTCACCAAGCTATTTCCTGTCAGCACCTTCAGTCTTCACAAAAAGAGCTTTGTCCAGAAATTCTCAGCCTACTCCATCTGCAGCTGCTGGACAACATTCTAAAAAACCCTCTATAACCTCCAAGAATAGCCTTTTCTGAAAAAATATACACTGGTATCAAGGTATTCAAGCCAATTATGCATGGCTCCATCCTGCCATCTGCTAAGAATGAAGAACCAGCCAAAGATACTGTGGCACATCTTGGTGCAGACATCTAAAATGGAAAAAATATGGCCATAGGAAGTTGCACTCCCAGCTAGTTGTGATGACACTGATGCCTGAGCAAGTAATCACAAAAGATTCAGGTACTGTATGTCAGCTCTTTCACAGTTAGAGCCAACACACCTATCCTTACCACAATGTAAATTCAAGGCATATAAAGACCACTTGTGAATAAACAACAGCAAAAAGTTATCACAGGAAAAAAAGCATAAGCATGGATTTTTTTTATTAAATAATACTCAAGATTACATTTTAAATTCCACTGCAATAAGTTTCCTACATCCAAAAATGACACTACCTGGCGTGGAGGGATGCAGCTTAAGGTGCAGTCCCTGAAAATATCTTAAAGACTAAATTTAATGTTTAGAGGTTGTCCCGAGTCACTGTTTCTATGGGAAAGACCTCTACAGTAACACTGACTAGAATAACAATTAGAAATTTAATACTGCAATGAAAGTTACATATTTTTGTCTTTTGGATTTTAACCCCTATATTAAGTCATTAAAAAGGCGCTCTTTCTCACAGAGCGAGACAGAGAAGACATCTGTAAAGACAAGAAACCATGAAAAAATTTACAGTCAGAAAAATATGCAAGGAAAAACTGCAAGGAAATGAATACAAAGTCCCAGTAAAACTGACAGGAAGAAATAAGAAGGTTCATCTGGATAGAAAATTGACCGTATAAACACTTCTTTGCATTCCATATATATTTCCATCAGAAGTTTCCATTTTAAATGTTCTCAGTCTGCAGTCAAAACCAGATTTTCCTGTCTGATGGACATGAAAGCTCAAATTCACCTCTGCAAATTAACTATGTTCTTTCCGCTTCATACATCAACTATTAGGAGCAACGTTATTTCTGGAACTGTATCTTAGCTTACAATTTGATGATTATGGTACATCAGGGAGCAGAGAATGCACCTTGCTCTGCCACAGCTACATTTTTATTGACTCCACAGTACTGAATTGGGAAATTTCTTTTTGTCAGCAAACTAAGCAGGTCTGACTTGGAAGATTTAAAGGCTGCAGATCTGGCATTGGTGATCAGTTGATGCCTGCAATGACAATGGGATGGCAAAAAGAATCTGCTTAGTCTAGGAAGGTATTGCAACTATTTACAACAGAAGCACTAAGGAATAATAGTATACCAGACTTTTGCCATCATTTTCTCTAGGTAGAATGTGCTTCTTCGTGAAAGGGGAGACTTTCTGCACTCTCACCTCCAACCCACCTCAGTATTTGCAGCCTGCTATTCATTACTGAACAACAATACAAAGTAATCTCCCTCATGGCTCCCAGTGAGTCTGTAGATTTTGGGGTTTGTGATATACGATCCATCCTCCTTGGTAAAGTCTCTCACCTCCCAGTTTAGACCTTCAAACTCCAGAACCATGAAACATAATATTAAGATCTCTGAGCTTGCTCTCTCATGAATTCTCTGAGGTCTCGAGCAAGATTTTTCCTCATCTACCCCTAGACTTCTCAAAATCTTTGACTCTGAAAACTGGGTTTCTCTATCCTGAGGAACAAATTCTTTGCTGGTGAGGTCTGATTAAAAGTCTATCTCCCTTATTCTATAAAGAGGAAACAATAAAAATAATTTCTTACTGAAGGAAAAGCCACAAGTCCAAAATTTCAGAGGACAGAGGAATTGATCAAAAGGATAATGAAATCTTTCAATTAACTTTGATAGACTCTGGTCTTAGTCATCAATCAGCACTATTAAGAACTGTGGATCTTCTAAGAGGTATTGTACTGGAAAAACAGAGAGAAAAAAATATAATCTTGACATTTTCACTAGACAAGAAAAACTCAGGGGATGTACTCATAGCCATACCACAGTTGCTAGATTATAACAACCAGCTTTATATTTAAATAGAGCAGGTCAGTGGCAAATTAAATATGGAATTAATGGCATTTTGTTTATCACTAAGTTTTATGACTGATTGTTGCCATAACTGGTGACATATACATTTTTATTTTCATTTTAGAAATAAGTGCTGTGGCTAAAATAAACACAGATCTTTATGCTTTCCTTTCCAGAATTATTAGCCCATATATTTTTATATGGACTTCCTCGGTATATCAAGATATAACTAGAAGATTAAAAATTACACAGACAATAGAAATTTTGGTATCACAGATTTTGTGATTTTTAGCGCAGGCTAAGTAATTTCTATTCAATGCAGTATTTATTGAATTTTAATGTTCCTTTGGGTTTTTGTTGTTATTACATAAGTAATTATGTAAAAGTTAGTTATATGCTTATAATTCTTTCATTTAGATCATCCTCCTGATTAATGTTAATTTGCATGTGACTTTGGGGTATTTGCTTTTTCTTGTTCCTCCTACACTTCTCTTACATTTTTTCACCAGTATATATAAACAAGTTTGCTGAACTTGCTTCCGCCGCTCTCCCAAGTTAGTGTGAATTACTTTATTTACTTGTATGAAAATGCCAAATTCTACACAAATTCTACTTTTTGCTGTTTTACTCACTTATGTTCCCTGTTTGTGTCACTCTAGTAAGTGAAAATTAGAACTACGCTGATCCTCACAAAATGGCTGAAGTAATTTGCTTTCATTTGTATTTCTTATTACCTGATAACTCCAGAGCTCTTTCATGTCCTGAAGATAATCACCTTCCCTTAATCCAAATAAGATGAAGGTCTCAGTGGCTGCTGCAGCTGCCTCTGACCAATATTTAACCCAGTCTGGCACCAGATCCGTACCACTACTGTGGATCTGATATGAGCAGAGCCTTCCTGGTACTGCTGAACCCTCAGAACATTTCAACGAGTCACCAGCTCTGAAAAGGAAGTCCCAGGAACATATATACATGCAAATAGATGCTGGCTGCTAGAAAAGCTCTTAAAAATCTGGCCAGTCTTTTAGAATGTGTTATAGACAAATCTTAAAATCATCAGCACTTACATGCATTTCTCCCTCTCCCTAGTTCACTTTTAATCAGAGACCACTACTGCAAACAATTAAATGTTTTCCCTTTCTGAGTTCTGCCTGCAAACAAATGTCATTCTGAAAATAAATATTTAGCTGTCACTGTCCTCAAGAGCAGAAGTGATCCCTAAATATCATTCGTTTCCTGTCTCTCAATTTCTACTCACCACTTCTAAGTCTACCAGTATTTTCTATTATAATATGATATTGCCTCTACTTGCATAGGTTCTTGGGTTTCTTATCTCTGGGACAGACTCCATCTGCCCCTGAAGTTTTGCTAATCTTTAGACATTCTAACATCCTGATCATCTGTTCAGGTATGGTCTTGATTTCCCTCAGTATTTCTTCTTCCTCTCTGAGGAAATTTACAGCCATTTCCAGCATCTGTCACCCATTCACTTGTGAATGTTAAGGCAAATCATTTATTTAATGTTTAAAAGTTCTGTCCATTAATTATGTTAGCTTCTTACTCCATCTACCTTTATGGACTTCCCATACAAAGTACTTTAAAATTCCTTCATAAAGCAGCTCAGCATGTCTTTTCTCATGTTGACTTTTCTATAGGATTAGACTTCCCACAAAGAATATGTATTTGCCTTTCTGTTCTATAAAAGCTAAAATAGAAATCCATTGTGTGCACTAGTTTTTTTAAAATCTCCCATTAACTACCTGGTCTCAACTGTGACATGAACTAATTGCTTCGATCATCTGTATTAAACCCCTCATTTTCATGGAACCTAACCATTTTTTCTGCAAGCATTTTAATATAATCACTCTTGAAACTGAACTTCTAATTGTGAGGATTATTTTAAAAATCAAAGTAACCAGACCTGAAGCTTTTGAAAAAATGTAAGGGGATGGCATAAGTATATCTCCAAGAAAACTAAACAGAAGTTTCTATTGCTATGGCTGCTCATACTGTATTCTTGCATGTATTTATTTTTTAATGTTGTTTATTGCCCTCATTCAGACAAAAGATTTTTAGCTTTCCCTACTAGAAAAGAGGAACAATCTACACACTGACACAACTTTCTTTCAACACCAGACAGTTCTTCCCTTTTAAATATAAAACTTATCACATGCTCCTCTAGAAAGTTAGATCATATCATCTGCTCTGTAAACAAGTCAATGTCCAATGCAATATACTTCAGCCTAGTTTTTTTGGTTATTTCTGCATAGCACCTTTAATGAGTGCCCACTGATGTTCACCCACAAAAGTCTTTTCCACACTGTCATAATCCACTTCAAATCTCTATCCATCATAACATCTGTTCATCTGTTTAACTCTAATCCCCTCACACAGAATCTAAATGGAACAAAAGTGCCAGCCTTTTTGACCAATGCCTGTTTATTATTTTCTAAATAATCAGATATAAGCTATTTGCCTTCATCTTCAAATTCTTCCTCATTATCATCCCACCTATCATCTCCAATGAGCTCTGTCTCCAGTTAAGCCATAATGTTGGCTTCCACTACCTATTTGTCAGATATTTTTAAACAAGCTCCTCTGTGATTTTTTCCAAGCATCTGCCACACAACCTCATCATCTTCCTTCAAATCCCTCATTAAAACTCTCTTGCTGTGATGCTTACAAAAAAACATGAGAAAATGTTTAAGCTAATAATGCACTGAGATGCTTTCTCTCATACTGACCAACATTGCCTCATTGTTTCCTTGTGCTCCTTCAGCTGTCAATACATGTGTTGTCTCTTACATTTGAATCATAACCTCCACATGCGGCCCTGGTTTATGACTTAGAGCTCTTTGGTGTTCAAAATATAAATAAGAATCAGAAGAAAAGGCTTTTCTCCTCATTATAGTTTGCTAGCTCCTGCAAACATGTTCACACTTCTCTTTTGTGTTAATTTCTGGCAAGTAATTATAAAAAGCACCTCTAATATAATCTCAAAGTCCTTACTCTCTTTTCAGAGGGGAACACCCAACTGAAGGACTAATTCATTCCCCTCTTCAAAAAAATGTATTTAAAAAGGGAAACTATGAGTAAGAGGGAAAAGCTAGTGTTTCAGCACACTTTTATCATAGAGGATAGAGGAGTTCAGCCCTGTTTTTTCTCCATCTTGCCCCTTAGAACAGTACAAGTAGGAATCACTTCAAGGGAAGGATGAGGTCTTTCCTGGGGATTAGCAATTTCCTTTCTTCCTTCCCTGATTGCCATTGTTTGCTGGGTATAGCCCAAGTCCTGCTGCTTGTGAAGGCATAGACTCCTGCTCTGACACTTCTCATGGGAAGGATTTTCCTTCAGGATGAGAAAGAATTATTTTTCCACAGATAAGGGAGAACAGAATGAAAAGTGAATGTTTTTCTCATCACATATTTCACTGTGTCTCTGTTCAGCATTATTTATATTCTCAGATCTTAAAGCTATTTGTAATCTTCCCTAATAATACATGCACCCAAAGCAGCTCTGCACCTGCACTAAAAGTTCTTTCTAAGAACTGAACCTCCTCTGCACAGATCTCAGAGTTACAGTGAGGGCTGATGTTTTCACTTTGGCTTTTAAGTCCTCTATATGTATAATACATCCTCAGTCACTGAATTTTTTCCCTTTGCATCTTGTCTCTTTTTGTTATTTTTACCAGATTAATATAACCCTCATAGGAATGACCCCTATTTACAAGAAGGATAGGTATTTCCCTGGTCTGACACATTATCAATGCAAATACTACACAGAGGTGTAGAAATTGATTTAGACAGATATAATTCAATAATGTGCTCAGCAGATATCTGTCAATCAGCTGGAGAACTTTAGCATCTATCCAACAAGAGATACACATGCAAGAAAAATATATAAATTTATACACCTACCAAATTTCCCACAGACATCAATAAATCATACAGTAATTTCTGATTTTGAGATGTAAGCAGTCAATTTTGACATCTGTATGTTCTATACAGACAAGAACACAGAAAGTCATGGGGTTTGTATTGATCAAATGATTTAGGACTTTGGGAAAGCTAAAGATACTAAATTTTTCCTGTGTTTCCATTTTGTTAACAAAAAACACCAAGAATGCAAGATACAAAATTATATCAGTTATGCTCATGAATGACACAACTCTGCATCAAATCCTTTTATTCAATCTGAGTTATGGGAAAATGATTTAATTATGAAAATTTAATCAGTCATAGAGTTCATTAATCTCATAGCACATCCATGGGAGGTAAGATGGAACTGCATGTGCTGGGCAGAGCCAGAGGCTATTCCAGCACAGAAACAGTTTGGAGACAACACAAAACAGGTGTAATCTTCACCTCTTCAGGAAGCATTTCAGAATTGCAGCTGTGGAGTTTCTTTGTGCTCCTAGGGGAGTAAGACAGCTCCATGCTGTTAGCATAATCTCGCTCTACAAAGGCATCAAATGCAAATGTACTGTCCCCACTTTGATTTCATGTTGACAACACTGTGTCATGGTTGATCAACCAGTCTCCATTTAATTGTAATTTCTTATCTCAAGAGAAATTCAACTCTTTACAACTTTCACATCAGAAACCTGTTGGAAAAATAACAATAAAAAAGTGCAGCTGAACAGGAAACTATTTTCTATGGCTAGCACGTGCTAGTGCCTTAGTAGCAGCTATGCAACTCTGATGGACATGTTACAAAGAATGAACTTTCTCTCCATGCAACAAATACAAAGAGGTTTGCTTATTATAAGCACAGTAGAAGCTCAGCTTTGAGAACTCACAGTATAAGGACTTTTTATTCTACATTAACATGGCTAGCAGACTTCTTGTCTTAGCCCATGAGAAAGCTAGCCAAAGCAAAGAGTTTCATCTTAAAATGCTGAACTGCTTTAAGAAGAAACTCAAGTTCTCTTGGGGAAAAGAAATCTAAAAACAAAACAAAACAAAACAAAAAAAAAAAACCCAAAAAACCAACCCAAAACACTTAAGTACATAATCTCCTAGAATTTCTCTACCTGTTTCTGGTTTTCTTCAGTGGGTATTGATCATTTTTCTAATATCACTTCCAACATATCTCATACTAATATCAACTTCAATCTGAATCCAAATTCAAAAAGGCATCTTTACCTGAAATCATGCTCTGATTTAGCAAGAAATGACCTTGCAAGATAGCATGATGGGCAATTTAAGTGAGTGAGGAAATGTTAATTAACAAGAGATTAAGACACCAGAACTTGGTTTAGATTATTTGTGTACTGCTATGAATAAAAAAAAATTAATCAAAAAGGAAAAAGAAATAATGTGAACATGTAACAAATGAAATTAAGGAGAATCAATTACCTGATCTACAGTCTATGGATCCAATTTGAAGTTATGCACCATTTACAGAGATCTTCTGAATAATTCAACCAGGGGGAAAAAAGTTCAAAAAGTGCTGCCCAATAAAGCACAGAGCTTTACAGTTCATTTAAGCTATGTTTCTTTATGCACAAGTACCCATATCTCCATTATGCATCCAAGGGTGCACAACCACAAAACAAGGTGGACTGTGACAGAAAGAGACATGACCTGTTCCAGCACATAGTTCTCATTTAGTTCACGAAAACTAAAATGGGTATAAAATGTCAAACTGCCTGATGTACCCTAACTTAAAATAAATGCTCATTACCTTTGATGGTTTTATTCTGAGTTTTGCTGTAATAGAAATAAAGGATGAAGAGGATAAGAAAAAAATGTAACCACATAGAGAAATTTCCCAAAGAAATCTATTTATGCTGAAACTGATACATGGAATTTGCAGGTTTTGTGGCCCCATGTATCTTACCAACATCTTTTAGTGATCTGCAAGGTAACATTACCAGTAAAGGCTTTGGATCACTCAGATGTCAAAGTAATAGATAGCAAACCTACAGATAATTAGACAATACAAATCCAACAGGACAGTTTAGTAAGCGGGCAAAAACATCAGAAAGGATTTTTTAAACCCTCCCAAAAACCATAAATTTTATGAACAAGGAATTATCGGAATCTTACACCACCCCATGATCTACAAGACCTGAAACCACTGTATAAAGAGGAGGCTGGGTCAGCTGAAAATTCCCATCACCTTGGCATCTTTAGAGATTTTTTTGTAAAAGGAAAATTTCATAGAAAAATGTAGTAATGTTATTTTGTATATTTGACAACGGCCTAAGGACTGCAAGAACATACTGTCCCAATCTGCTGTCTACATTTCAAGAGAAGTGTTGATAACTTGTTCTTGGTTGACAGAAGAACCTTCAACATGCATAGCAGACCAGAAGATCTCCTCATAGCTAAATACTCCAAGAGTCCAATACTTTTACAGATTAGGAATTATTTAGTCTACAGCTTAAAAGAATGTATATGGGAAACAGAAATTTAATAATGGCTTCTCTGATCTACATCAAAGAACAATTTTAAGGAGTCATCCCCAAAACTTAAAAAAAACCCATGAATAACAATATGAATAAAAGCCATCAGCTTCAGAAAAAAATAGGAATTAGAAATGTGGAACATCTGATCTTACACAGGCCAAAGGTTCCCCAAACCCTTACAGCACAAGCAAAGCAGAATTATGCACACATCACAGATTTATCAGAAAGAAGATACATAGAAATAGAGAAGGATCTACATTCACAATGAAAGAAAGACTATAAGACGTGAAATGGGAACCATTAAAATATATTATCAACAGAAATACCTTTGAAGCCATTAGTGGACAAATATTCAATTAAGATTAAAAGGAAATAGCTCAGTATTGACTTCAGCAATATATCTACTTTCACTGAAGAAAAATAAAGATTATTAGATGATGAATGCACTGAATATCTTCAACAGCTGTCAGACAGCTTGCAGTTTCTACTGTTTTAGTACAGGAAATGAAGAAGGTAAAAAAAATTGAAATAATATAAGTGTTTCTTGATATTGAAACTAGATTACTTTAAACAGATTTTATAAAGTGCCTTTACAGAGGACTGCATTGTCTGCTATAAGTACTCACTAACATTGGTGAAGAGCGCAGATGGAGTTACTACTAGCTAGACTGATCATGCACTTAACTAAGACAGAAATCTCTGCCTCTTGGCATCAAAAATCTGGAGGGAGGTAACAGTAACTCATATGACTGTCTCGTAAGAGAGTCATAAGAGGAAAATTTACATAGTAGAGAAAACACAGAATATATATGCACATAGAAAAGACATTTTCTTTAGAGAATTCTAATTATGCACACAAATGGGAAGTATTGATTCAGAAAAAAATTCTGGAGTCTGCTATATTAAATTGCAGATGTGTTGATAGCAAATAGGACATTTGGAAAACAAATCAGAGCACAAAAGCAGAAACACATCCAAATGTAAATGAACAACTTTGACCTAAATGCAACATGGCTGGCATGCCAGTGTAATCAATATAATCAGAAACTACAAAATGTGAAAAAGGCTGAAGAAGAAACTGCAAATCTACAAAAAAAATACAAAACTACAAGGAAAGAATAAATCAGAATAATTTTACAAAGACATGAGTATCCTCCATGACTTCAGGACATATTTAACTGCACAGACTACTGTGTTCACTACTCATGGATCCTTGGTACAGGGGGGCAATCCAGCTGGGGTCAATCCCCTGGAGCACCATGAAAATGTCTAAGGACCTGATGATGCATGTGACTAAAGAAACTGGGTTCACTCTAGAGAAAAGTGTAAGGAAGGACTTTATTGTCAGATATCAACTACTATAAAGGAGCTATAGAGAAGATGGAGACAAATTGAAAATTTTCCTAGGAAATTTTGTACGAAAACAAGAAATAAAAAGAAATTCTGTTGAATATGGTGAGAACATGAGTGTGATCAAACATGGTAACAGTTGCTTGAGAGACTGTAACACATTTATTTATAACACTGACTAAACACAGCCCTGATCAGCCTAATTGCCTTGAAACCTAACTCTGCTACAAGGAAAACATTGAGGCAAATGACTTCTAGAAGGCAAAAACAAAATACAAAACTGTAGTTTATGTAAACCCTCCCTCAGATCAAAATGAGTAACAAAATTCAAAGACAGACTGAAAACAATTATCTGTATTGAAAAAACAGTTCCAAAATCTGAGAAAGAAGAGTTATTTGATAGTGAGAAATATGAGAATTTTAATAAGACTTTAGGTGAAAAGTTGAGAGGCAGAGGTTATTAGCAGAGGCATGAGAACATATAGGAAAAACAAGGAAGTTGGTGTAAAAAGACTGACCATTACCATTCCCTGAAGTCTGTAGCTACAAGGCCTAGCCCTTTAGTATCAAGTGGCATAAGAAATCTTGCTTTCCAAGCTTTTCTTTTAAAACTATTTCATACCTTTACTGCATTAGTCCTGAAAGTTCAGAGAGGGAAGGAATATTTTGTGAAAAGCATTCCTCCACTGGAAAATGTATTTTTATAGCCATTGTTGTTTTTCTGCAGGGGTTCATTCAAGTGTGAATTTGTTTAATTATACCAGTTCCTATCCCCAGCTTTCCTAAGGGCCTTTGGTGTGTTAGGTAAAATACATTATATTCTGGGAAATTCAAATACCAAATTTAGAGCTTTCAGTGGTTCTTTGGAGGGGATACTATGGTGTGATGATGAGTATTGGCGAGTTGTACATTTGTTCCTTAGGCAAGAGTGGACCTTTTCAGAAGATTATAGTTTGTAGAGAATTTTTTTTCCTATGACTGAGTTTAAGGAACCTGAGACTGTCAAAAATTTTACAGGGGTATCAATGCATGAAGAAAAGAATATCAATAATAAGAAAGTCTGATAAAATATAAAAATGAAAACAATCTTATTACAAGGAATGGAAATAGAGAAATATGGTAGGGGTGCTTAGACAAGTCCGGTAAAGAAAATTAGAAGGCCAACAACAAATGGCCACCTTCCAGGCAGCTGAGCCAAATTTTAAAGAGATTCAAGAGGCAATCAGGACCCTTAGGAATAACAAGCACCAGGTGTCAACAGTGTTGCTGCTGAAATGTTAAAAACAAGAAGCTGTAATCTTAGAGAACTTATCTATATCTTTTTATATGGAGGTCTGTGAAAAAGCTAAGGGAACTGAAGAAAACAAGGATATTTCTAACTTCAAAAAGGAAGACAAAATGTAAAGAGACAGTCTGCTTTCTCTATTTATTATGATTCATAGAATCCTAGCTTTAACACTTTTATATAGATTTTGCCCTTAGAGACAACAAACAATAGGAGAATGCAAGTCTTTCCAGGCATATATAACTTTCCATAAATCTCATCTCTATGTATCAGATGTTTTCAATGCTTCAGTGGCAAAGAAAAATTGTAGCATGATCAGCATACATATTAAATAGATTTTAAGGTCTGTGCGATAGCATTCTCCAACATGGTCTTTGTACTGTAATGAAAGAGATGCCTAATAAAATAATTTGGCCAGCCCAGTTGTCTTTATATGACTGAAATTTAGACTATGAGATAGGAAATTCCTATGTGTTTTGTTAACAATATGGGATTATGAAATGCAAAACTGTGAGTGGAAAAAATCTGCCATTAACCTGTATAAAGATTATTACACAGGGTAGGAAAAAAAAATTAGGTCTCAAGAAAATTCAGTAGCAGATCATACAGTCAAAATACTGGGAAAAGATTCCACTTTAAAATTTCAATATAGTGTTCCTATACCAGTATTGGATAACCACAAAAAATGCTGACCAAGGAGGAGGCAGAAAAAATATGGCAAACATTGCTAAGAATCTGTAATGCCAAGGTGATGAAAAAGAAATGAGAATCTGAACTTAGTTCATCAAAGTGATATAAAAGTTCACGTTCTTCACTGCAGTTGTTTCATGAGTACAATTTCAATAGACACTTAGGATGAGTATAAACTCAGTAGTGAGTTTTGTTTAATCATTGAGCAAGGGCTTCCTTTGTTATAGTGGGCATTTATGGCCTGTCCTTAACCATACCTTGTTGAAGGTTTTGGAATTATTGTTAGACTTGACTTGATAATGTTACATTAAAATATTCCGGATGCCAAATTTTAATATTCAAATGCAAGATACAACAGTATCTATTTTGTTTTAATTTAATAAAAGCTACGTACTTCAATCATTTTGGCTCTCCCTTTTGCTTTCAATGACCATTTCATGCCCTTCCTCTTTATCTAGTAATTATTGCTCTAGGCAATTGCTAGATCCAGTTAGAGTGAGTTCATTATCAGATTTGATTTGAAGATTCACATTGTTTTTCAAAATCATCAGCAGAAGAATCACCTTATATCTTATTGGAGATAAGCATAATCCTGCTACAGAATACATCTTATTCTTGTCCCTTTTTAATACATAATTTCTAATTGGAATAAAGCTGCATATTGGCATCTCTGAGCCAAAAGAAGGATAAATAGGTCATTGACCTTGGAAAAGGATCACATGCAGAATTCAGGGCTATCATGTAGCATTTCATCATTATGAGCTTTTATTCAAGAGGCAAAGTTTGCCCCTGCTCTCTTTTCACAGATCATTAATAGCTTTTTAATCAAGAAAAATTAGCTGAAGATAGTGTAATTTAGCTACAGCTATACAATGATCTTTATAAATGTCTCCTGAATACAGTGTCAAAACTGAAAGATGTCCCCAACAGTTATTTTATTTAGTTGCTATTTCTGCCCACTTTCATTTCTGGCTACTGTGTTATGAAAATTACAACTGAATATTACAGCCGAGGAAAGAATTGAAATACCTTTTGAAATAACAAAATAAAACTCACCTTCTTCTGGTTCTTTCTTAAAACAAATATTAAATGCATAGATCAACTTATCGAATGTCATAAAATTCAAAAAATAGTTTTTATTGGGCCAAAATGAAGACATAAAATCAGAATCCAATTGTGTTGCAAATAAGGTTTTTCTAATCCTTCAGCATTCAAATCAGAAATCATTCAATTAAATCTCCTCTTTTAAAACTATATACTTTCATAAATTTTGTTTAAATTCACATCTAAAAACATAAATTTTAGTGCATAGACAAAAACAGACTGTAGCTGCAAATGAAAAGTGCCATTTATGTACAAAAACTAAATGTATTTCTGGCAAAAATCAACCCAGAGGCAACATGATTTTCTATTTAGATTGGCTGTTTCTGAATAAAAGTGTGATTTTGGGGGTATTTATTCAAACACCCAGCATATAGTAATGATGCTAAGACAGAAGTTATTCAAAGCTTGAAACAAAATTCCTCTGTTCATCCAAAGATTTGTTTTGCTTGAATTTAGAGAGTAAAATTTTCCCTCCACCCAAATCTTAAAAATTCAAAGGTGTGATCTAAATTCATAAACAAACACAATATAAATTATTCAGATGTACTGTTAGATACCTAAATAAATAACATCATCACTGCACTATTAGTGTAATCTGAATTTTAGGAAAGATAACCTAATTTTCACAGTATCCAGCACTGGCTACTTGAATTGGAAAAAAAAAACAAAACGTAGTGAAGCTATAATATATGTAGAATTTTTACACGTCCTTTTATGACAACACCTTCTTTTGTTTAATGATGTAACTTTGTAATTTCACAATATTGACAAAGATCTGTGCTTTAGTAGTACCTCCAGTTGTACCTAGTAACAATTCTACCTGAATCACAAAGACTTTGTCACAGTTTGGATTTCAAGATCCTCCAATATGATTTAGAGTAAGCTTCTGACTGTCCCTTAGTTGCCTGTATTCTTTATTTATACTTATTTTTTACTCATATCTCCATATCTTAAGATCAGATCACCTGAAGTTATGACTTCCCAAAGAGAGAGAAGGAGAAGGTATCTCATTAATACTTACATAGCATACATACATAGGTATTACATTAACACTTGCATAGCAATGTACACACAGCTATGCATATACAGACCAAATGAAATAAGTACAATGAATTTGGTAAGAAATAGTGCATCTAATGTTGAACATATACACCCAAGAAGAAATAATATCACTGGTTTGGTTACCACATGTAATAAGCTCTACATTTTAGAGAGATTGAGAAATTTGGAATAGGTCACCTGCTTTGAAAATGCTCCAAAGGCACTCTACTATGCAATGGTCTATCAGGGCACAACTCTTTTCTACTTCTGAACCTGATATGGAAGTCTTTATATATATATATATATATATATATATATATATATATATATTTCCCTTAAATTTTTTGCATATCACATATGTGTGCTGAAGTTATTCAAAGATTTACCTAATACTGATTGCAACTAAACTCTACTATCCTAATGTGGGTATTCCCTCTGCACAGTTTAGAGAATCCAAAGCCTTCTGTGCATTTATAGCTGGGAATGAAGGGAAAAGTTTTTGAGGCTATTGAGACCTCTAGAGAGGGAGGTTCTAGCTCCCCAGAACTTTTCAAAAGTATCTGTTCACTAAGGTACAACAAAGAGTGTATTCAGAAGGAAAGAAAAATAGGCACCTACACATCTGATGATCCTGCTGTACCTAATCATATCACCAAGCACATGAAAACCGATGTGATATCTTGTACGACTGCTTGTTTTTCTTTTTCTGAGATAAGTTTGCCATACAAAGGCATGTTCACTCAGGAACTCTTTAACCAGGAATTCAGAAGTTGATGAAGGTTGTCAAATGCATCTGAAACACTACAAAAGCATCAAATCTACATTATGTGTTTAAACATAGCCACCTAGTGCAATTTTAGATACACTAAGTTATCCAAGTTATCAGACAACCTAAGCCAATAAAAACAACATTATAAAATCAAATTTTAGAAAGAGGAATCTGTCTCAGGGTGACTACCAATACAACAATCCCCACGATCTGGTTGATCCGGTCATTTGATAATCTCCAGGATTCTGCCTCAATTGTAAATCAATTCTAAATAGATTTCTATCCGTTTGTGGCACCAGACAGCAGCATACACTTCCAGCTTGCAACTACACAGTTTACCTGGTAAAAACCACTTAAAGGTCTGAATATATATCACACAATGATGTATCTATGTTATGAACTCAAAAATAGTTTTCTCTAGATCATATCAAGATCAAACTCCAGTATGGAACATATTACAGCTAAAGGTAAACCCCAGGGGTGTGTTGTACCTGAAGTAAGCCCTAGAAGTTTATGCTAGTCCCTCTCCCCAAGAGGCCATCTGTAGGGTTTCATCACATCCCCTAGGAATGCTTGAGTTTGCACAGACAGTGCACAAGTGTAATATAAACAAAATACTCTAACCTTGGGGTTAATGCTGTCTTCACTTAGCTTTTTAACTCACCCTGAAGAAGCAGCACAGAACAGGATAGCTTGAAGGTATCTTCTGCATAAACTCAATGATGCATAGCTTTAAGTAACCCCTACAGACCTATTATTAAAGGTAAGATGAAAGGAAATAATGTTCGTTTCTGAAACAAGGAGAGGGTGTTTGAAATGCTCTCTAGATTAGAGAAGAACTTGGTCAATGGCAGCTCCCAGAAAGAATTCCCCACCAGCACAGCCCACCTTGGATCTCAGATGACCTAAACAAAGGAGGTTCCTGAACTGGTCTCAGGTTTTAAAACTGCAGCCTATGTGAAAGGAAAGGCCTATTATCATTGCAATAAGTGAAGCAAAGATAGCTTGAAATTTCACATCAATAAAATGTGAGGACTACTAAGAGGAAATGATGGAGGAAATGCAGAAGATTCGTGTTATGGCAGAGCCACTCTCCCCAGAATTCTTCTCCTCTCACCACGTTTTACAGCTGTGACACTGGCTCAGGAAGAAGGGACTCCTTGCAGAGCACTGCTCTCACCTGGGCAGACTCTCGAGTTCCCCACACAGGCTTTCTGCACCCACTTGCTTTTGCCCTAAACAGCTTCATTAGTTCAGATGCCTTTTGAGTCTGCAGCATACATAAGAAAGAGATTGCTGAGTACATTATCCAATATATGGGTGTCCACATGGCTTTGTCTCCTTTTTAGGTGTATTAACTTGCTAGCTATTCCATGTCCTGTTCTGATCAGAAACTAAGGAAGATCAGCAACAACAATAAAAACAAACAAATAAGCAAACAAAAACCCCAGACAACAGATCATCTTCTTCTACAGTGTATTTTCTGGAAATCATCAACAAATACCAAATTTACCTGACTCACTATTCCCCATGTACTTTTACAGGATCAAGAACAACTGGGTAGATAGGCAATGACAACAGTCTGCAGAAAAACAGGGTGACAGCAAGATACAATGGCAATCCAAAGGAAGGTATAAAGAATGGTCAAAATAAGTGAGAAATACCAAGAAATCTACAAGCTCACTATCCTATATAACAGGTGATCTATGAGTGTGGGTAGAGGGACCATCTCAAAGGAAATGAAGACTCCTGTCACAAGTGTAAGGGCTTCATGGTGGGTGTCAGGGGTTGGTTGTTGTACTGAGGGGTGGGTTGGAAGTCAAAAGGGTCAGATAAGAAGGGAACATACTTGCTCCAGGTAAAGCTCCAGGGTGGCTTTGAAGAAATCTGCCTGATGACAGACCTAACTCTGCTGTTCATTTTCTGCCCTTAGGCAATTAATTTTGTTTCCTTGAGACTCTGTTTTTCCTCCTGTCTTCCCTGACATCTATCTTGAACTGTATGATGTTTAGGATAGCAGCTGTTCTTACACACTTCCTTGAACAATGGGGGTCTGATCTCACAGGAATCATCTAGATTCTCCTAGAATATAAATAATAAATAATCTTAATTTAGCAAATATTTATTGAGTTCTCTCAGGTATTAGAACTAATTACTGCCACTTTCCCTTAAAGAAATAATCCATCACTCTGCTGATGATAAAAGAGCTTTTTGAACAATGGATTTTAAATCTATCTATTCAGATAAATAATTTGTTCTTATTTCTTTCCTATCACTTTATGCAAATTGCTTGCTTCCCCGTGGGACAATTCTAAACTCTCTAAATAGTGTGAACTAAAACAGTATTGAGCAGGTTCAGATTCTGTACAATGTAAAGATGCAAAGAGATAGTTTCTATTTCCAAAGAAATAGAAACTGTGTACATACAAAATTTACATTCCATGCATAAATAGTTAACAGAAGAGATGAACTATGTGGGAGATGACTGCATAACCATCTAATTTGATAATTATATATTAAAAGTAGCATTTTTATACTTATTAGATTTGTGATTACTATAATAATTCAAAGTAATCCATTTGCTCCCAGACTATCTTATAGCAGCAGACCATATAGCTTAACTACACCTGTGGCAGGCACATTTTCAGGAGTAGACATTTCCTTCAAATTGATCAGTTTAAGAGCTTCAATTCAGGTATTCAAAGACTTCTTTTCATAATTAAATAAAGCCTCACAGATGACTCCTAACAAAGAGGCAGAAATTTTGAAGTTTCACATCCTGCAAGGGAGGTTTGCCTGCCTAGAGATTGTTTACTTCAGCTATTTGGAAAGGGTTTGCTCTAGCTATTACTGGAAATATTCCCATGAATTTCAGCAGAACTCACCGGAGGGAGATGACTGAAAAGTAGTAAATCTCCTTTCTAGTAGAACAAGGAAAAATATTTTATATTTTGTCTACATATGTCAAATATGGAATGCATCAATACAAAAGCACAGAAACCTATCTTAAGTTTCAGCTCAACAAATGTAACGTGATATAACTGAAAAAGAAATGCTGTAACTAAATTCTTTCATTACTAATTAATTTTGTGGAGGTTTAGAATCCCATTCTATCTATATTAAACAATTTGAGCTACATACTGTTCTGACATCAAGCTGCTGGTTTGCCTGCTGTAACTGGAATATAACTGGAATGAAAATTTTGGCTCATTGTCGTAAATTTTTCCAGGATAAAGATTTAAGGAAAAAACCTTACTATTAAAAAGCTAATGGCATTTCTAGTTGGTATTTTAGAATTGTATCTCCCTTTAAAAGCGAGTTCTATTATGGTCCCACATGGCAAACCAGATTAATCTAGAGAGGATGCTAAAAAAGAGAAAGATATTGATAAGTGAAGTAGTTCTTCATTTACACTATTCCATAGGAATCATTAGTCTCAGGGAGTGAAACTGGATACTAATCTAGGGACAGAGGACTGAAAAACCCCATTCATGAAATATACTGTGGTGAGTGTGAGTCATGGATCAGGTGATGAGACATGTGGTTTCAGTCACTGTTTCCCTGGACTATCAAGGAGCTATGATGGTCCCTGATGAAAGCTGTATCCATTCATCCCATCTAAGAGTATTCCTGGTGTTCAAGGTATAGTCTAGCAGTGGACTGAATTTCAGGAATTAGGAGGCTAATTCAAACTTGGATACTCTGAGGTACCTTCCTTACTTCATTGTGAGACTGACTTTTCCCTTTTGTCCCTGTACTGTTTCAGCTTCAAGCTTTGTGTGGCAGGTACTGTCTCTTACTATTTATGTACACAGCTCCTAGTACAAGATGGCCTCAACCTCATTCAAAATCCCTGGGTACTTCTAAAACTAAAAACAGAATCAGAAGCTCCATCGAACCAATTCATGATACCTCTAGAGGCATATACACAGACCTGGGAAACTCATTTACTTCACAAGTCCATATGGAATTAAACCCCCAAAAATGTGTTTAAACATCATCCAAACACTGGAAGAAGAATCTGGTTCAGTCATAACTTTTTCTTACCACTGATAAAGACATGAAGAAGATTAAAGGAAGAAAAAAGAAACTGGAAAAGGAAAGACAATGCAGATGGAGACTAGAGAGATGAGTCAGTGGAGATCTTTCCCTGCCTAGAACTATGGGGACTAGAAGGATAGTAGGTGATTTTTCTTTATAAACAAGTTCAAGCAACATCACCACAAAATAGCAGGGCCACAGTACTGCTCATGCAAGACTTTCTTTGGCTCCATGAGATATCTGACAGGCCAGACTTCAGACTTCAGCCCAGTTTAATCGTGCCTTAGGGAGATGATGTTCTTATGCACTGCCTCAGTATTAGTTTGCTTTCTGCTGATAAGTTTCTGAAATAAGCTCAGAATCAAATTGCATCAAATTAAGCAGTTCCACAACGGTGCTCCAATCTCCTGGATGCCGGTTGATTGTGAAAAGCCTGCAAGCATCAAACCAGGACTTGGACCTTT